ATAATAATCGGGTGGTTTGACCGAAACGTTATATAAATTTGGGTGGTAATTTGGGTAATCACGGTGACACTAATTATAAAGTACAGTGGTCATTGTGAATTAAAATCAATTTGGGTGGTCATTATGACACTAAATATAAAGTATAGTGACCATAGATGAATTTAACCCGTTTGTTAATAGACCAATAAGTCACGTCGTCTTTCCGATTCAAAGAGAAAATTAGGCATAACCCTTCTTTAATTTTCTCAACTGAAAAGTTAGATTATTGAAAATTAATTTGAAAAATCAGAGTATCAGAAATTATGCTCTTGTCTGGTACCAAGTTTTTTATTGGTGGATGTGCAATGCACGTCAGGTGCCCGTCATGATTTTTCAATACAAGAATTCTCCAAGCTTCATCAAGTTTTGAATTAAGTCCTGCAAGAACTTGAATATTTTGTCCATTTCAAGCATCTTTTATATAAATCGTACTATTGATGACATTTCAATTAAACATTGCAACACTAGTCTAATTCTTGCCAAAACCCTTGAAAGTAGTATAGTATTTCGTAATAGTCCAACATCCCGATTTTAATTCGCGAATCTTCGACTTCATCTCATAAATTTCAGCTGAATTTTCAGTGTCAGTGTCGGGGAAAGTTTGTGCGACAACTTCGTATAGTTCTTTTATTGTAAAGAGTAACATGTAAGTTTGACCTATCTCCAATTCAATCAAATTAACAAGCCAAGTCATGATCATATAACATTCTCAATCGCCCACAGTTGAAAAATAGCAGCATCTTCAGTCTCAAATATTGTGATTGAGCCAAAAGTAGCCAAAATGATCGTTTCTCCATGTAAACATTTTAATTGATTCTGACCATCGAAGAAAAGGTTGGAAATTCAAGTTATTTCATGTAATTTGGAGAGAGATTGTTGGGATAGATTTGATACAATCCTAAAGGATAGCTAATTCAATGAACTTCCAACAATATGTTGAGAAAATTTTGTTGTGAATAATTTTATACCAAGATTTATCCAGTAAATGAGTTCATATTGCATCGAATTGAAAGTGATGTACATTGGCGAATTTAGGATCGCAGTTCAGCTAGAAGGGGTTATTGACCGTTGATCATTTATCGTCGATAATCAACTATCGTAATAACGATGTCGTTTATTAATATTTAAGGAAATAATATTAAGAATTCTTCAATATATATGTAAATGCATTAAAATGTAAAATTTATATACATATGAAAATATAATTCCACACAACCCAAAATACTAAGAAAAATACACGATTCAACCTTACTTTATAACTATAAACTCAAACTTAGACAATTACATTCTATGGGGTCTCACATTTTGAAAATGTTACAATATTGTCTCATTCTCAATTTTT